CATACATACATACATACATACATACATACATACATACATACATACATTTTCTTGGCTCGTGACTGGGACACAAAATGAGTTTTCATTTTGCTTTTAAAAAGCTGTACGTCAGTCACTCTGCGCCTCGCGCGCGCAAACGAGTGCGCGCACCCGCTACGTCACGCGTCGGGAATGCGCCGCGGAGCAGCCGTTGCTGCTAGAGGCCTTTGGATCCGTGACAACGCAGGGTAACGACGCTCCGAAAGAAAGAAAGTGTTTGTCGAGACACCTTTCGCTGACCTCTGAACGTTTAACTGGGGAGGGGGGTGTGTGAGTCGTGTTCGTGGGGCTCCTTTCGGGCCGTGGCGGTAGGTTACCGCTTTGTTTCCTCCTCTTCGGTTTGCGTTGAAAGTTAGCCTAGGGGCAAGGCACGAGCTTTGCTCGAGTTCAAAACAGGCTAGCAAACAAGTAAACAAGCCTGTTATTACAGTCAATTGTGACTCGTTTTCTCTCGTCGTGGGCCACTGAGTCACCAAGTGGTTTGTGTTGCGTTTGAGTGACGCTACGAGAGATTTGGGAAGAGCAGCTGTAGCGTTTCCCAGTCTCTGACGGGAGGCGTCATGCTACAGAGTTACAGACGGGACGTTGTCACTCAGATATGTGTGTTAATGTGCTTACCTGCTTGGTTTTTGATGGATTTTTGTGCTGTGTGTTTGTAGATGAGACCCCAAGGAAAAAGGACTGTAACATTACTGTAAAAGGTAGGAGCTGCTTGGTTGGTTTTTATGAATTTACATTGTTGTGTGTGGTAAATGTGCTTCCGTCATATGAATTAAAGTAGTCCTCTTATTGTATGTAATTTAGCATGCGTTTGTCTTCAAATCATAAACTTTATTTAGTGAAACATACTTATCTAAATAGTACATTTAGCCTTTAAACTAAAGGTTTAACAACACTATAAATATGATATATATCCGGGGCTGCATTAAAAATTCGAAATACAGGCTCACACATTTTTCTGCAAACTTCATAATTACTTTCCCTGTATCTTAAAGACCACTGAATATCCTGTTTATTCCCTGCTGACTTTTTTTGCTGCTCCCTGAGTTGCTACGCCTCCTGTACAGTCTGCAGGACTCCCAGCCGATTTATCTGATGGATATACACTTGTAAGCCACACAGAGACGACATTTGGCTTTAAAGCTCGGGGTGATGAAACCGCCCAGATTAATTTCCCGGCGCAGCCTGCCGGTCTTGAATTTGTGTTTGTGCTCATCCGGATTCAGACGGACGCTTAAATCGTCCGCAGTGGAGGTGCTGGTCACTCGTTCCTCCCACACGAGTGCAATGTAAAAAGCGCTGACACTGCACGGGGGAACTGGGGACAAGAAACCCCCACGCACAAACAGAAAGTTAAAAATAACACTTAATAACTTAAATGGAAATCAAATCCCCCTTTAGAATATTGTAATAATGTGTAGCTACATCATCCTCTCATCCATCTTTATAATCCTCTTAGCAGAAGGGATGGTCACACGACCCACATACAATCAGTCTGAGTGGGTCATTAATTCTTTCACGTTGACAACCCTTTAATTTAGCATGATATGTGCCTGCCATTTTAGGCACACAATATTACTGTTCATATAGTCTTAGTCACAGTGATATTGCTCATATATTTAGCCTTTCATTCAGACTCTGTAGTCATAAATGTGCAGACTGCAATGAAATGGGCCCCTATCTTCTATTTTAGGCAGTCTGACCTCAGTGGGATTAAGTCAGTGACACTGAATCGTTTCTATATGATATCTTGCATCTTTATTTTTCCCGAGGGATAGTTTATAAAATGTTATCTTGCAGAACACGTCCGTCTCTGAACACAGTCTTGTTTAAGTTGTCTTGGTCTCTATACACATTGTATTGAACTGTGCATGTTGATTTTTTTTTTTAAATTTAGATTCTTACATAAGAGAGGCATCCTGGGAAACCTCAGGTGGAAGTCTGCACTTTGACAGCTCAGCTGTGAGCTGCAGTGCTGTTATTTATCCCACACTGGGCTCATAATATATTGTTATGAGCCAGGTGTTCATATGTATACAGATACATATCGTTGCACATTGTTTCCTGCCCTGTTTTTGTCTCGACTTCATTTGGAAACGCACGGTGCTGGTGTATAAACACACAAACACAATAACTATTGTGGTAGATGAGAAGCAAGGTGCAGCCGTCGTTTTGCACCTGCATGCGTGTTTGCACATGAACATGCCTCCATGTAAGTGTGTGTGTCAGAGTTTTTTTTTTTTTTTTCCTGTGTGTGTGTGTGTGATTGTGTATATCTCGAAGCACGCACCAGGACTTTTTACACGTGTTTAGGTGCTGGAAACCCCCTGAATATTGAATGGCACTTCTTTTCCTCCTCGTGTAGAAACCTATTGTTCAATCTGTGGGTCTCGTGTTGCCATAGGAAACAGAGTCTGAAGCATCCGTAGTTTCCATTGGTTACATGCTACACAAATATACACAGCAGCTACAGCTGTACTCGGGTGGCTGAGTCATCAAAGCTAAAAACATACTCGTGCAATATTTTAGTGTCACATCTTAATTGCATGCATTTGTTGATGTTAATGTTTGGATATGTTAAATGTGATCCCAGAGGCCTGCCATGTCCGGTCCCACCTGGCTGCCCCCGAGGACCGTGGATAGTCCAGAGCGAGCCGTCCCCCAGATGTCACACTCTGCTGGGGCACCAATCTACAGAGCCCCTAACAAGAAGGGCACGTCCGACTTCAGACCGAAATATGGACCCTATGACCAGAACGGAGGGGCAGGGATGACCAACAGGTACATGGCGACTGGGCCCACAGGTAAGAAAGCAGCTGTTCACAAACCTAAGGTTGGATGGAAATATACTCGCTGTTTGCCTACGGGTTCATTTAAGCATCTGTGTTTGATGTCAGTGGAAGTGCTCTCATATTCATGTTCGTTTGCTCGTTACCGGATGAATCCTGGCCCTGATCACTCAGGCCAAATGCTTCTGTAGGACTTACAGGATGGAATCAGAAGCTCTCTGATAAACCCTAAACACAGAGTCAAAAGTAGAGGTTTGTTGAATTTAAATCATGACAGTGGTGTGATTAATCTCACACACCTCCTGCTGGTCATCTTCATACTGCAGCACGCTACATTTATCATGAATATCTGAGCACATAAACAAACCAAGGATACACAAAGCAGCCACGATTAACACACAGCAAGTATATTTAAAGCCAAAGAAAGGCCCACATGAAGCACAACCTTTATGAAGCTGCATGAGTCATTTCCACTCTGTTCAGTAGTCTTTTTACGAAGACAGAGGAACCATTCACAGAGAATCGACAGCTCAACAGGAACACATCAGGGCTTTTAGGGAACTGTCTAATCATTATGTTAAGTAAATGTTTAAAGACCGAAAGTTCCGTCTGCACACTATCCGTTCTTTATTTTCAGCATGTAGAGATAATAGCTGAGCTCTGGTTCCTTCTGCCGGCTGCGTTTCCCTGTAAATGATGAGGGTCATAAACTCTTAGCACTCGCATATCGCCCTTGCATTTTTTTATGTGTTTTCCTGCTGAGCTCACACAGACAGATGATAACAGAATAAATTTAGTACTCAAGGGCCTTAGTTGAAAAAGATCATCATTGCTGGACTATGGAGCCTTTGGTCCTATTTTGTTTCCTCGTAGCTAGTCGAGGCAGATGACTGTCTCTCTGAGTCCGGTTTGGCTGGAAGTTTCTTCCTTTTTTTTTCTCCAAAGCAGCCTTGTGCACAGTCAAGATGGATTTGCGTACCACTGTTTCAAAAGAACAAGAACTGCTTTATTATTTCAAAACTGTTCCTTAATGGGTTTCTTAATTGTTTGCATAGGTGGGCCCATTCATCACTCGACAGGCGATCGCTACTACTCTCCTCCCCATGGTCATAAAGAGGAGCGTAACTGGAGCCCTCACCCTCACATGGAGGGCTACGACTTGATGGTGCGGGAGTTTTCTATTTCTTCTTTATATTAACGGGGACATGTGCGATTGCTGCTTCAGATAATTGACTGGAATCATTGTGATGTTTCTGGTGTTAGCATCGTGGTCCGGAGAAGACGGGCAGCTATCACTCCAAGATTGATGCCGATATCGACTCTCTCACCAGTATGCTGGCTGATCTGGACAGTCACCCACAGGACTCAAGCACTCAAGTATAACAACATGCTTAATTAAAAGTGAAATTATGCTGTAAATGTGTGATACATTCAAGTGATGATGTTCCTGCCTCCCTGCAGCTCTACGACAATGTGCCTTACAACAAGTACATCTCAGGGGATCACTACAAGCCTGCACACCAGAGCGCAGGCCCCCCTCAGGGCCGGCCGTCCATGGGGTACAGCGCTCACCCCCAGAGCCAGTACCACCCGGCACCGCCGTACCCCAGTGAGCACCAGACCCCCCAGTACTCCCACCAGCAGGACTATTACTCCACGTCCAGCCCCAAGCCCTACCCCCAGCCCGTCCCGGCCTCCTACACCACCGCCTCCACCCCCACTGGGCCCCGCTTCAGCGTGCAGGTCAAAACGGCCCAGCCCGTCACCTACTCCCAGACCGGGAGGCAGGCCGAGCAGGCGTACACGCCGCCCCCCCCTCGCCAGCACACGTCCAGGCCCGCCCCTCAGACTCAGACGGGTCCCCAGGGCTGGTACCCTCCACACCCCGGCTCCCAGGTTCAAGAGTTCCACTCTGAGGGGGCCTACAAGGGCGGCGGCTCCGGGTCCGGAGGACGAGTTAACCAGGTTCAGATGTCGAAGCGAGGGATGGAAAGCACCCCGACAGCTGCTCAGGGTCCTGCTTATCAGTCCAGCAAGGTGAAGATGCTATGATATTTAAAGGTTAAGAAAATAAAGGGAATTCAACATCAAATTGGAGTCATAACTGAATAACTTTTCTTTTCCTCTCCAGCAGGTGGCAGCAACAACCAGGCCGGAGGAAGAGCTGGATCGCCTCACCAAGAAGTTGGTCTACGACATGAACCACCCGCCTTCGGAGGAGTATTTTGGTACGTCAGCCCCTGTAAAAACAGACGTGAGACTTTGTTTAGTTGGTAAGGATTTCCTGTGTGTGTGACGGCCTGTGCCCCGCTGCCCTGCACGCAGGCCGCTGCGCCCGCTGCGGCGACAACGTGGTCGGCGACGGCAGCGGATGCATCGCCATGGAGCAGGTGTTCCACGTGGAGTGTTTCACCTGCATCACCTGCCACGCTCGGCTGAGGGGGCAGCCCTTCTACGCACTCGACAAGAAGAGCTACTGTGAGAGCTGTTACATCGTAAGTTCAACAGAAATGGGCCGCATGGTCAGCAGCATGGGACAAGATGTGGAACGCTTATTGTTTATCCCATTTTGTGCCTCATAGTCTAATTCAAAGGACTGTTTTCAAATTTTTTAGAGTACGTTAGAGCGCTGTTCAAAGTGCTCCAAGCCCATTCTGGACCGCATCCTGCGGGCCATGGGGAAGGCCTACCACCCGCGCTGCTTCACCTGTGTGGTTTGTAACTGCTGCCTGGACGGGGTGCCCTTCACCGTGGACGCCACCTCTCAGATACACTGCATAGACGACTTCCACCGGTACGCACGCACACGTGCACGCTCCCACCGCCGACAGGACCCGACCCGGCTCCCATTCGCCGTAACGCCGAGCTCTGATGTCCGTTTCCCCCGACAGGAAGTACGCGCCTCGCTGCTCGGTCTGTGGCGAGCCCATCATGCCAGAGCCCGGACAGGAGGAGACCGTGAGGATCGTAGCTCTGGACCGCAGCTTCCATGTGGGCTGCTACGTGTGCGAGGTGAGTCAGCGGCTGGACTAATTTAGCCCAAGTTTATTTAGCCCTAGATCGTTATTGGGAGCAAAGAGACTAAGTGGTGATGTGATTTAACCGACGCCCGTCTGTGCCCTCCAGGAGTGCGGCCTCCTGCTGTCGTCTGAAGGCGAGGGCCGCGGCTGCTACCCGCTGGACGGCCACATCCTCTGCAAGAGCTGCAGCGCCCGCCGCATCCAGGACCTCTCCGCCAAAATCTCCACCGACTGCTAGCAGCTCTCCTTCCCATTTCCAGCCGGATCCTTTTCGCAAAACGCACGCCTAGGCAACGCGACGGCTGGCTTAAAACAAATGTGCATTTTTTCCCCCCTCATGTTTTCTGAAGATAGATGACACACTACCTTATTGTTACTGGTAATGGAGGCCATCGCCCCCCCTGGTTTCCTTCGTCCCGTTAAGCTACACGTGTGTGCGGCGGCCTGAGCTGCAGGCAGCTCTGGCTCCGCCTCCCCACGCCGGTACGGCTCCCACCGCACATCCCACGTCTGAACCCGCCCCGCTAACGGGAGCCGTGGTTTTGTAAAAAGCACTACCAGTCACTCATTTCAAAGGCACGGAACACGACAACAGACTGTACATAGCACCCTGGGCCGGAAACCGCTCTGCTTTTTAAACATTTAGTCTCAGAGCAGCGAAATAGCCTCCTAGAACAACAAATGTAGACAAAAGGAATGTGTAGTGAACTCCACGCCTAGGTTTTGTTACAGAGTAGGATATTTGCTAGACCAGATTTTTGTCCTCACAGGGTCGTGTTGTTTAGTTTTGTAGTTGGATTCGGGGGTCGGGGGGGGGTTTGGATCAAACTTGACTGTTACATTGAAGACGACGGTGCAATGAAGACGAGCGGCTCTGTGCTCCGTCGAAAAGAAAACAGGGTGTTCCCGCTCCTGTGCCGTTCAGAGGGAGCTCGTGTTCGGTTTCTGAGGGAAACCCGGTTCGAGCGGGAGTGACGAATGTTTTTTGTTTTTTTTGTCGCTGAGGATTTGTATTTCCCTCAGATTTAGTTTGAAAGCCCAGCTCCTGGCTGGTGAAGTGAGCTTTGCCCGTCGTTGCACTCCCCGGGGCAGAGTCCTCAGAGCTACAGTATTTGTTACGATTGTGTTTGACTCCTGTCTCTCCGTCCTCATTTTGTACGTGTTCCTCTCAAAGGGCTAAAGAGTCAAAAGCCTTACCTCAAGGACGTCACTTAGTTTCAGGATGACACAGTTTAGAAACTAGTTTGACAGTGAATTCTTAATTTTTTTTGTGCTTTTCTTTGTGATAGAACTCGATCAGACGGTTCAGAATTTCCCCCTCTAGCTAATTTATCTTGTGATGTATCGACTGTTTTTTGCATTAATCTGCTTTTTTTTTATCATTAAGCTATACATTTCATGAATTCTGATGTATTTTTAAACTCCCGAATCATGCCAGCTCGTGTCTTCAGACAGATCCTTTTGTGTGTCCGCTGTTTTCATCTATTTATCCTCCTCACTGCCTTTTCCTTTTAAAATGTGTCGAACTGGAGCTCCGGTGTGTTAAGAGGAGGCGGCAGAATAGTCTCTGACTGACTAATGAAGCACAAACAGCAGGTAGTTGAATGAATGTCAGCACATGGTGGATTTTTCTCCTAATAAAGGTTGTAATGTACTTAATTATTAAAATGTCTGTGAGCGATTGATTGTCTATATTTTTTTGCGCAGACTTAGTTTCTCCCGGGTTTAAATGAACACCAGCTGTTGGCGGTCCGACGCCGAACGGGCGGAGTCACAGAAACAGCTTTCACAGTTTTTCGAATCAGGATATTTTATTTCAGATGCTTCCTTTATCCCCCCTCAGTGTTTACAGCTGGACAAACATCAGTAGATTATACAAACGTGTTGGTTTATCTGTTTTTAAAGAGGAGAAACGCCCCCTCCTGACAGTCTGATCCGGGCTAACACGAGGTGAACGTCTTCCAGAAGAAGCTCCGGCAGCCCGCTTTGCGCTCTCTTTGGGAGAAGCGAATGTGTCTCCTCTTCAGATGGTCGCTGTCCCCCAGCTCCTCCTCGTCCACCTCGCCGAGCATCTCCTGCCCTCTCGGCCCCGTCAGCCCGAACGCAAACCTCAGCAGGAGCAAGCGACTCAGATCCTAAACGGAGAAAAATGGCAAAACTTTGGAGTTCTCTGACAAAGAAAAAGACTTCAAGTCATTATGATTTTTTCCCCCAGGGGGCGAACCGGTCGGTGAGCTCACCTGGTCGTCGATGAGGTCGTCCTGCTGTGTGTCCGGCAGCTGCTGGGGTCGGGGGGCGCCGGCGACCCGCACCGGAAGGGCCGCCGCACACAGAGCCACCAGCAGCACCTGAACCTGGGAGCGAAGCATAGCGCCAGTCCACGCAGAAGTTAGCAGTGAGGGAGCCTCTGAGGAACCGAAGGGCGCGCCGGGCTCATAAATAGGTCTTCAAGTCCTCCTCATCCTCCTCATCCTCAAGTGGGCAGAAGGATGCGATTGGTGGAGGAGAGACTTGACTGTGAGGCGAGGAGGTGTCTTGTGGTGCCGGCGAGCAGAAGAAGGTCATCATTAACACGACATCAAGCACTAACGAACCCCCCCCCCCCCCCCCCCCCCCCCAAACCCGGAAGACGACCCCCGGGAGGCGACCGCCGTCCACTTTGACCAGTGTTTCTTCTTTGACGGCGGTTCTGTCGGCCGGGATTAGCTCCTGCAGCTTTGTGGGGGTCCGATCACACCACGGACCCGCACGCTGTTAATGACACAATGTGACTCAAATGTTAATGAGACTTCTGACCACTCCAACCCCCCCCCCCCCCCCCCCCCACACACACACACTCTTCGTGCCATCACTTTGAGTCAGTGAAAAGAAAGAAAGAAGGAAGGAGGCTCAACACCTAAATGCCAGACTACAGCGATGTTAAGAGTAACCATCTTTTAAAGAAAGACATTTTGGATGAATTAGTTCTGTTTTACCGCCTCTATAGAAACTGAACATCCCGACTTCTTATGGTTTGATCTTTAAGCTTTTGATATTAAAAATGGAGTGCATACACACAAAGACAAAGGGGAGCGGCAAACTCAGTGCTGAAATCAGTGCTGATATCAAAACACAAATTGCAATAAGAATGAGAGGTGGGACTCACCCTGGACAGAAGCTCAGTCCATCACCAAAGGTGATTCAGACACAAATGAGACAGAAAAGACGTTCAAACTCATTCCTTTGATCAATTTAGAGACACAGATTAATCTTTTTGCATGGTGGAATGTACCCAGAGTATCTTGAAAGAACAAGAACTACAACATTTACATGGTCTAACAAGCCAAATGAGGCATTCCTCACATCAGAGTTACTTACTCTTTCACCTTCTTGGTGTTTGAGTTTGTGATGAACTGTCTAGTTGCATCCTGGGTAATGTAGGCAAAAAACTTTGAGGAGGAGGTGCAGCGTTCCTGGTTTTCACTCCATTTTTCCTCCTGCTTCTGTCCACATGAATGCAATTCTGAATGCAAACTGCATTCACTGCAAACTACTTGTGTTTAATGGTTGTTTGATTTATCTGAAACCAATGTTTAAAACTTTTTTTAAACTCAAGAGACAGTATTAATTTGACTTGAGTTGACTTTAACAGACTTGTAAAAATTGATGGGATGAATTATAGCTGAATTATGCAGATACAATTATTAAATGTTTGAGATGTTCACAAGTCAAACATATGTAAGAATAATATTATTTCGGAGTAAGAATAATGTTTGTTTTTTTTCTTTTTATGAATCATATGGGAAACTTCAGCTGTTTGAAACGCTGTTATCAAAAAGAAAGTTGTTCAGTTCTCATTACTTGCTGATGAACTGCTCTGTTGTTGAACACACATCACTGCTCCAACTAATGGCCGAATAATTTTCACATCTCATTCTTTTAATAGATAGTGACCTTTTCTATGACTGTGTTTTCCTCTGTCTTCTCCACAGGACTCTCACTGATAAGCCATATTACTCAGTCTTTAGTCATGACACAAGCTGACCTAAAGTAGCAGAAGATGTCGCCAAGCAGGAATCCAGCTGTGCTTGTGTGAATTTCGAGGGTGCACAGTGATGATCACTCCGCCTCTGCTCTAATACCTGCGGCTCCACAATCTGAAATAGGGTCAATGTGTCTGCAATTTGCTGGAACTAATAAGCAAATATGTCCAACAAATCATCAAGTAATTCCTCCTGCTGATGTACATATAAATATATATATATTTATATATATATACTTTTTATGATTCTGATTGGACTTTCTTGGCAAAATCAACTGGGGAAGGTGACATGTTTTAATCATTTTGTTCCGCCATAAAATATGGTAATGGGGCTTAACTTAAAAGGATTTATTTCCATTTGGATATATTAATTTTAGGAATTTGAAGAAAAAGATCTGGAGTCCTCCAGAGATTGATTTAGTATTCATGTCCCTCTATTTTCTCAGCGTTCCCTGTGCCAAAATTAGCTGCAGATAATAGTATTTCTTAAGGTTTACAGTAATGTTATTATTTTTGTTGCCAATTTGTGTTTTTCCTGTAAAACAACTCGACCTGTTGGTTTGAGGCAGTTTACCGTTTGACCACTAGATGTCCTTACAGTGCCATTAAACACATCGAACGTGTTTTGAGTAAACATAAGGTATACAGTATATTTACTCTCTTTTTCTTATTAATTGTACTGGTAATGTGACCTTATTAAGGCATTCATTTGAAGTAATAATTAATATAACTCAGGAAGAGCAAATAAACAAAAAATAAAAGCTGACCAACCTTAAATGGCACAAAAGAAGAAGAACCAGCTGATGTGTTTTAAATTAGCCTCTTAATTAGCCACTTTGTCAAAATGGCGTCACCAGGAGGTAAACACGACTAGCCGATTCCAGATTTGGTCTAAATTAATGTGCCATGAAGATTACAGCAATGATTTTGTCTATTTTCTGCGGGTAAGGTTGAGAGTTAAAAAAAAAAGGCTGCTGAGGTTTAAAGTTCAACTTCCAGCGCTTTTGTGTCTGGTCTGTTTCAGCGTCCTGTTTCTCCTGGCCTTTCCTGTGTGTGCCGCCAGCCACCTGCCGACAGGTAAGAGTTCCTGAGGCCAGCAGGGGGTCAAGACAGGCTCCAGTCGTCTCTGGGGGGGCACCAATTAATATATATTTAAGAAGTATACTGATACAATTTCATGGCGGCTTTACTCAGACTGCATTTATAATGTAAGAAGAACTCAGGGACTATATTTTGTTATGAATAAAAAAAAAAAAAGGATTGTTCATTGCTGCATTGAGGATTATTATTTGAAAAAGTCACATTTTTGGTTTGGGTTAGATTATAGGCTTATATAGGTGTATTATTATTTTTGTTTGTTTTTGCATCTCTCATTGCTCAAACCAGTGATGTGTCTCAGAGTTTACAGTAAAACTGACTCAGCTTCATATTTTCAGGAGTATTTCAGACCAAATGTCTCGAACGTCACTTCTGGCTTTCCATCAAATCCAGCTTTCTCGGCCGGATGATCCGGTTTGACTTTGAAGGTGTCGTGTGTGTCTTAACTTTCATCCAAAATAAAGGAAAGGTGCTATCGTTCATCATAAGTGAAATGTTGTGCAGAGTTTAGTCCGCCGTTTTAAAGGCTTTGCTTCCCTTTTTGCCAGACCAGTATGGACTGCACCTTCTGTCCCCCCAGGAGGCCGCGCTCTGCGGCTACACCGTCCTGAAAACGGATGCTGGAGACCTGGTGTTCCGAGCCTCTTTCCTGGCCTGTCACGTGAACAGTCAGGTAGGCGAGGCGGGCGGAGGAGAGTCCGGACCGCCTCCATCCACCTCAGACTGTCTCTCTGCTTCTGTCCCCTGCAGGTGGGCTCAGACTATCATCTGCTGGTGTGGCTGGTGCACGCCGGGGGGGGCAGGGAGGCGGCGGCCTACCGCTTCCAGCTCCGCTGCCCCCTGCCGGAGGCGTGGAGCGCCCGGGAGATGGTCTGCGAGGAAAACTACATGGAGGTGTTCGGCTGTTTTTGCTAAAAAGCGCGAGCATCAAAAATAAAACCACAAACAGATAGTCGATTTTTACATTTCTTTCCCTTTTCCAAGGTGTCCGTTCAGCTTTCCGTCCAGCCCACGGCGCCCGGAAATGAGAAGAATGTGAGAAACAGGCACTTGGACTTACAGAACAGGGAGTTTTCTAGAGGCTCGCTTTATTCAGGAGGGCTCTGTGGCCTCTCGCCCCCCAGCAGGGCGCCGCTGAGGAGGAGGAGATGGCCGTCCTGTTCCATGGAGCCGGGCGGCCGGCGGGGGCGGCCGTCTTCCTGTCCCTGGGGGCCGCCGCCGCTCAGGGCTGCCGGGTGGCTCTGCTGGCGTCTCGCCTGGCGCTGCGCTGCCGCTACGCGTCCCCGCTGTCCACCACCGTCCAGGTGCCGCCACCCCCCAATCCCCCCCTCGCCCCCGCCGCCCGGTTTAACCCGCTGTGTCTGCTGCAGGAGGACGGGGTGGACCTGGAGAGCGTGAGAGCTTCCATCTTGTACAGACGGCGTGGAGCCCTGCTGTCCGTGGACGCCTCAGTGGCCTGCGTTCTCAGTTTGTAAAGATTTGGATAAACGTGCACTTTGGGTGGCGCGAGCGTCCGTCCCGCTGCGATGCCGATGCTTCTCTCTCCTCCTCCCCCAGACGAGGCCCTGGCCGATGGCTCCGACCTGCTGTGGGCCGTTCCTCAGGTCCCGTCGGCGGTGGTGGAGGGCCAGGTCACAGACGGAGGCGTGAGGTTCGGGGTCAACGGCCAGGCTCTGAGCGAGTCCGACCTCAGAGAGAGGGGGTACAGGGTCGGCCTGCGGGGGGGCAAGGTGGAGGTCAGGATCCCCGCCGGAGCCCCGGACGGACACATGAAGGTCCGTAAGGCGTAGGCGGGCTTCCAGAGCCCCCGAAGGTCCCGGGTCTGAAGCTGTGGTTGGTTCCAGAGCTCGGTGGTGAGGGGGCAGTACAGCCGCTCCATGTCGGTGGATCTCTACCTTATGAGTCAGTGGGAGGAGCAGCGCTGGCCTCTCACACAGCACCGCTCCCTCCGCCGCCTCCAGACGCCGTTCGTCCCGCAGAGCCTGGTCCTGACCCACAGTGAGGATCACTGCCTGTGTTTCAGCTCATAGAAATAAGGAAATGAAGATAGACGTTCGAGCCACAACTGGAACGTTTTTACATTGTAGAAAATTCTATTAATCTTTGTTTTAAAAAGATTAAAAAAAATCTAATCAAACATTAAACATCAGAATATTTGACTTCCAATTCTGAATTGGATAAAAAACCAAAACCCGCTCATTCATTTTCAGAGTGTTCGTTCTGGAGCTCGGGCATCTCCAGTGCTCTGACACGGGAACTCTTCTCCCCTTTGGTAGATCAGGCCTCGTCCAGAGAGCTGCTGTCGGTCAGCTTGGGCTCCTTTGCGGCCGACGTGCACCTGCTGAAGGTGACGGTGGACGGCGGCGGCGACCTCTTGACCTGGACCCGGAACCGGACCGGCTCGGACCTCACGGTGTCCAGGTTCTTCCACTCCAACGGGAGTCACTTCTACCGGCTCAGTCTGTTGCTGTCGCACCCGAAAATAATCCCAGAGGTGCGGCTGCCCACAGTGTGTACCCCCCCCCCCCCCCCACCTCCCACTCTGGATGTCTGACACACGGCGTTTTGCAGTTTATAGGCGGCGGCTTCCAGACGTACAGCTTCACGGTGATCTTCACCCTGTCCATCTGGCCCTCCGGAGAAGTGTTCTACCACCATGCCGCCGTGGAGCACATCGCTGAATACGCAGGTATCACAGCTTTCTGGATTTGCGCTCACACGATGGAGGAGATCCAGGGGGAACGACCCCCCCCCGAATGCAGATGTTAACCCCCGGCTCCTGTTGCAGACGCGGACTCCCCCCGGCTGGAGGGGAAGTGCACGGAGAGCAGCCTGGTGGTGCTGCTGCACCACAGCGCCCGGTCCGAGCTGCAGTGGGAGCTCTTCCTGGGAGAGCGCAGGCTGGACTGGGACCTGGTGGAGATCGGGGGATTCAAAGTGGAGGCGGAGGACGACTACTTGACCGTGAAGATCCCCTTCAACAGTCCTGGGTTGATATACGAGGTGATCGGTACCACAAACGACTCGTTCCAGGATATTCTTACGTATCTAGGCTTCAAATCGGTGTGATTCTTTCCAGGTTTTGAAATATTAATTTGATTTCTGTGACAAAAACTGAGCCACAATGCAGTAGTTCACCCCTATTATAGTTCACCTTAGGAGTTAAGGAGGAAAGCCAGTCCGTCGTTCTACACAGTGAAAGATTATTATACTGTATTTCATTATTATAGATTTATTCAAAGGTGGAAAACTGTCAGGACAGGTGTCACCCTAAGGTCAGAAACCGGTGACCACATGTCAGACTTAGCAGGTTAAAGGTCAAAGTGGTGTTTCTCACAGTCTTTTTACATATAAGCTGTTTTTATTTCATGAAAAAGGTCCGTGAATGGCCGTGTTTTGATGGGTTTTGTTGCTCTCTTGAGGTCCCATTTACCTTTAGGACCTGACAGGGACGCCTGTAGATTTTTCTTGTAGCGTAGTTTGTCCACTGTGCCGTCTGGACCCTCCCTGTGCCTGACCAGCTCTGTGCTCTGCTCTCTGTCCGTCTTCTCCTCCACGCAGAAGCTGTCCCTGCAGGGTCTCGTTGTTGGAGTCAGCGTAACTGTTGTGGACGCAGAGTCCCTCAAAGAGCACGACAGTCTTGTCCATAAATGCTCCTTTCCCGCTCGAGAGCTCCTGGGTAGGCGGACAGCCAGCAGCTGACCATTGGGCTCCCCGCCGCCTCACAGCCGACTGTGTGTCTCTGTGTGTCTCTGACAGTCTGCCTGCCCGAGGGGAGGATGGTGGCCATAGTGGACACCACCCACGCCGTCCCACCCGTCCAGCCCAACCGAACCACCCTGCTGGACCCCGACTGCGTTCCCACGGAGACGGACAGCGCCCGAGCCCTCTTCAGCTTCGGCCTGGACTCCTGCGGCACGGCCGTGACTGTAAGAGGCTCTTCTTCTTCGGGGTCGCTCCTGGCCGAGGCGTTTTCTGACCTTTTGATCGGATCTCCTCTTATCTCAGTAGACCGAGGGGAATTTTCTGGTCTACGAAAACCAGATCGGCTCCCCTCAGGACTTCCTGCCGGCGGCCGAGCCTCTGATTCACAGAGACGCTCCGTACAGGTGAGAGACGGGAGCTGAGTTCGGCCCCCGGCGAATGGCGGGAGCGCCGCTGAAGTGCGGCCTGTTGCAGGCTGACGATCCGGTGCCAATACCCGGTGGACGGGACGAGCTTCTCGGTGGTCCGGCACAGTTCGTTCGGAGTCGGGTCCGAACATTTCAGCCATCACAGCAGAACGACCACGTAGGGGAGCTGCAAACACAAATATTTACACATGTCTGCTAAACTCAGATTTTGATTGACGGGTCGAGATGATTTGGATCAGATTTTTTATTTGTGTGAAGTTTACCTTTGGAGAATTCCCCTTTCAGATCAAATAAATTTGAGTTTAATTGCAGAACTTCTTCTCTTTGTATCTCTGTGGAACTCTGATTAAAAGATCTTGTTTGCTTTGGAGTTTTTCTCTCTGACGGAGCCCAAACTGAACACACAGTTATTGGTTACAAACCTCTTGTCTCTCTCTCTTTTCCGTGGTCAGCGTGCTCATGTGCAATAGTCCAGCATCATTTTAGACAGACGCCGAGGTGTCGCCTCATCTCCAGGAACGGCAGGCCAGGAGGGCAAAGTGAGGAAGTAAAAGGGACACGTTAGTTTATTTTATCGCCTCCTAAATTTGCTGCTCTGTCCATGCTATTTTCCAACATATCTGATTCAGATAAATGGGTCCATTTGGGCTTTCCTATGAGCCAGATGTTCTGCAGCAGCACGCCTGGAAAGCATCGGTACGACAAAAACAATGAACGTCTGCTTTCCTCTGTGACCAATCAGAGGAGCTTTTGCTTTGAGAAGCAACTCAGACAAAATGTGAACACAATTTCCAACATTTCACAGGCTTTAACCTATAAAAACCTTCATAGTATAAACTTTATATAATGAAAGCTGGACCAATCCAATCAAGCTAAACACATGCTAAACCAAAATATATAAGTGATTTATTGTCACCTTGTATGTGTGTTTCTTTCTCTGGAACATGTCAAATAAAGGCTCTGGTCTGCCTTATTAAAGGCCTTATACATATAATTAGGTATTTTTAGATGTCTCATAATTAAATGAACATCTCTTTGATTACTGACATGGAGAAGCTGAATAATGAGACGCGACAGCTAGAATTAGTCATTAACAAGTCAATTAATGGGAAAGCATCTGAAAATATCTCCATTAAAAACCATGATTGATTTATCAAACGAGCTGAGATCAGCCTTCTGTGTCAGGCCTGTTAACTCACCGCTGAGGCCCCTGAGGACTAATTGGAAACACCTGTGCTGTCACACGCCCAAATGAACCAAGACGAGCTGCACGCTTGACGAGAGCCATAAAACCAGGAGTGTGAAGCAGTGCTGCACCGAGTGCGTTTGGTTCTTTGGGCCTGTGTTGGACAGCAGGTGTAGTTTGCTAGGACCGAAACTAGCTTTAGACACTGCCAGCACATCAGCAGACATGGCTTTAGAGTTTGGCTTTTGGCAAGTATTTTATGGTCTTTAAAATGTTAAAGGTTGCCTTGTTGTTCAGACATTTCATGTTTTTCTTTGAATTGCAGTGTGGCTTTAATGCTCTCGTTGTGGTCAACAGTAGGATGTGACGTCCTAATGGAAGGTTGGTGGCCTCTATTGTTTAGCAAAGTTTTAAAGGTGCGCTACATCTAAACTGTTTACTCTTGCAGGAGTTCTTCAGGTGGAGTGTCATGACCGTTACTTCATGATAGCCATTGATCTCTCCGTCACAGGAGACAATCCTGTTTTTGAAGCAGTCGGTGAGCATTTCCTGGAATGTGGCATTTGTTTGATTATTGGGCTGCACGGCTAACCTGGTTTCCTTGCAGAGGGGGCAGATGCGTATGCCATCACTGAAGAATATGCAGCAAAGTGTGGCTACAGTCTCAGCGTCCTCCCTTTTCTGGGCCTGGTGGAGCTCAGAGCCTCTTACTTCAGCTGTCACACCTACAAAAAAGTAGGCACTGACCGGTGTTACAATCTTTCTGCAGCCTCGACCTTATAACTGACGCGTTTTAGCTTTCCGACTCATTTCAGGATGAAGTGTTTGTGTTCAACTTCAACCTGATCACAAACCAGGAGGGAGAGGAGGCTGTCTATCAACTGAACAAGACCTGTTTGCAATCTGTCTCCTTTTCCCCAAGAGAGGTGACCTGTGAGGTCAACTACATGGAGGTGAGCTGGAGGATGATGCAGCTAGCTGAGGCACAGCTCCAGTTAATTGTATTTGCATTTTCCTCTGTACAGGTGTCTGTTAAAAGTGAACTTGCCTGCCCAACAAGGACGAGCGACACCTGGAACTCCCTCAGACCCGTATGTGTTGCAGCAAACGATCTATAGCAGTTAAAATCTGTAATTTTAAGACTTGAACTCCCGCAGGCACACGGCTCCCTCGCCTCCGACTGGCAGGTGGCGTTTCAAAGGCCAGACCAGCAGCTGCCACCCATGAACCTCTCTAATGCTCACGAGCAGGGCTACTTGTTCGACCTGAAGAACGGCCGGATCGTATTCCGCACCCCCTATGGCCAGCCGGACTCGTACAGCACTGAGGTGACCATCTGGGGACGGGGCTGCCGTGTCGGGGCGGCGTGGGGCTAAATCTGCCTCTTCACTCAGGTGAATGACGTTCCAGTGGAGGTGGTCCATGCAACCCTGTTCTCCAGGCAAAGCTGGGTCGTCCTCATGGTGGATCTTGTTGCACTCTGCTCGACGAGTGAGTACTGCTTCCCTTCTCCTGCTTGTTTCTCATCCTGCTACTGAACAGGTGCTCTGCTCCCCTGTCCAGATGAGGGGTCCTACAGCAACGGCTACATGACGTGGGAGACTCCGGATATGCTGTATCCCAGCGTGAACAGCACACTGCTAAGTGTTGGCCTCAACGGGAACCTGGTGGAGCAGGCGTTCGCAGAGCAGATGGGCCTCCTCGCGGAGAAGAGGAACACCACAGTCCAGATCAGCATCCCCTACAACTCTGAGGGGGGCTACAGGAAGGTGAGGCCCGTGTGCGGATGCCTGCTGCTCCAGTCCGACTGGTGTTCATGTGACTCGTCTCTTTCAGAGCTTCGTGAGTGGGGGCATCTTCGAGTTCTACATCTTCAACTTGTACGTGAAGCAGACCTCCACGGACGAGGACCTTCAGGAAACGGTGCTCAGATTTCACCGGCTTCTGGTCACCCCCCCGCTGCCCTGCCCACCTGTCACTGAGGACCGGACCGTCCTGGCAGAGGGGGTGTTCACCGTGTGCCTCGGGAATATTCCAAAGGATGTGCTGCTCACCTGTGTCCACCTGAATGGGCACAGGTTTCTAGCACCCTTCAACAGCAGCGCTTGGAGCATCACAGAGGAGTCCCATCCCAACAACACCCACAGCTACATTCTGAAGGTGTCTCTCCACGACCCAATGGTCCTCCAGGAGGTAAGGCTGTAGCTGAGACGCATCTCCACAAGTCCCACTGGTTATAAACCCTGAATCCTCTTTAGTACTCAAAAGAAGATAAAGCCATGTTGCACAAGCTGGACATCAACTACACGCTGGCTACTGTCCCTGAAAACGACACTTACAACCACTCGGCATCGGTTGTGGCATCGATGCGTGTCGGTGAGTCTCCGTCCTAACGCGGCCCGTCCCGCTCGTGCATCCAGCAGCTAATTGCATCACTACATTCAACAGCCCCTCCAGTCATTGCTGCCACCTGCTCTGAGTCTGGGATCAGTTTCCAGCTGGACCACGGGCCTTCCGACTCCCTGTGGGACATCAGCATCGGCTCAGACCTGCTGACGCCGGAGCTGGCGGTCAAGCGCGGCTACTTCCTCGGCAACAGCAGCCGGAGCCTGCTGCTCGACGTGCCACTCTTCACCCCGGGATACGAATACAAGGTAGGGACGGGGAGGCCGTCGCTGATGGTTCCGATGCCAGTTCAATGCGCTTACAACTCATGCGCTGCAGGACGTGACGTTGATGGGGTTCCTGGGCACATTTGAGATCCTTGTGAGGGACCGGGACACATCCGAGGTCCAGACGACCACGGTCAAAACTTGTCCCTTCGACTCAGCAGAGCTCATCGGTAAGGAGATCCTCCATCTGCAGCCGACCGAGTCCCACGCTGGCGTAACCCTTATCCCCTCTCCTGCTCTGCAGTGTGTTCGACCGACGGCTGGATGACCGTGGTGGCTGACCTGTCCGCGGTCCTCCAGGACGGGGAGGTGCCAGTGAGCACCCACCTCATCAACGAACTCTGCATAGCCAAAGAAATGGATGGCACCCGAGTGCTCTTCTCTTTTCCAGTGAACAGCTGTGGCTCTGTAATCAAGGTGGGACTTTCAGGGTTTAAATTGAGCCCGTTCCTGCACAACTTGGCCTCCTGACTTTAATCCTTCTGCTTCACAGCTAACAAAGGGAAATGTGACGTACCAAAACAAGATTTTCTACGGCCTCAGTATGACGGATTATGAAAACTCTACCGTGGGGTATGTATTTCTAAGGCCAGATGTTCCTGAACTTGGAGTAAATGTTGACCCCTTCAATGCCCCTGCAGGATGACGGTGCAGTGCACGTACCCCCTGACTGTCCTCCGCCGGCTCTTCTCCCACTACACATTTAAATCTGACACAGAAGGTTTTGGCAGCATTATCCACAGCGTGCAGCCCACAGCAGGTACAGTGCATTCCTCACCCGCTGGCCGTTACTGGTGTCCGTTTCTGGATTTGTCACTCTTGTGTGTCTCAGTTCTGCCCAGTCCTCCTGCTGAAGTCCAGACCACAGCTGCTCCCCAAAAGAACAGAACGCCTCTGAAGTACCTGCCTTCATTTTATCCAACCACTCGCTACATCAGGGTCTCGAAGATTAACGGCATCCCCAGAAAAGGTGACGGCTTCAGTATTTACCGCCAAAAGTCCTGCTCTGTCTAACTCTGACCTGCCGTCTCTTCACAGGGATTAAAGGAAACATGCAACCCAAGATGACCACTGTCAAATTTTAAAGAAGTCCGGGGGCAAAATTTTACTGTGTTTAAACTGAATAAAGATTTTCTTAAACTCATGCTTTTTGTATTGTCTTGAATGTAAAGTTAACACAATAGGCAATGGCTCTATTTAGTCAGCCTGACTCATGTATTTGAGATTTAAAGGCATTCTGGCTTTCATGTGGCTACTGGATGCCCATTCAGCATCACGTGTCACACTCAAATTTAACTTTAGCGTCCGCTCGCGACTTTAAACTGAGTTTCTCCGGTCGGGCTCTAGGTGTCGCTACTGGACTTTAATCCGACTCTTTCCGAATCTCTGCAAAGCGAATATGAACGGCGGCGGATTTTCAGCGGTGAGTAAAGCGAGTTATAACTATGAGTTTGAATCTTTAACCAGCGTGTTCCTTTTTTGGGGGGGAAGGGCGCACGGTGGGTGGTGCTGCCGCCCATCTCCATCAGGACCCTGCACCACCCCTCCTTCCAGCCCCTGTACGGGCCCGCAGGCTCCCCCCAGAACCAAAGGAGGGAGACCCCCATTACAGTCCACCCCATCACCACCGAGGAGCTGTTCTACACCGACCCCAGCCTGGGCTGCGGGGGGAGGATCCCCAATAATGTGACCAGCATGAGGGTAAATCTGCACCCTAGTTTTCCACTAAAGCATCATGGTCAAACTCACCCAGTTGGTGATCAGTCTTGAACACAAAATGAGTCCTAGTGTTGCATATTGCAGCTTCTTCCTGTGCCAGAACTTCATTATTCCATTGTTTTTTTTCTTTAGGTTTATTAAAAAGGTGTATTCATACTTGTTTTGTTTGCAATATAAGTAAATTAATAGGGAAGGGAAAGATGAATATCTGAAAGGAATAAGAAAGCCCAACAGGATTGGTTTATTTAATCTGAAATGCAGCAGCTTTTACTAAAATGAACTGCACACCATACTGTTAAAGCTGCTTTGGGGGGGGTGGCTCTTCTTTAGTCTGGTCTCTGTGCAGAGCTCATTAAAAGGCCCAAACAGATGGGGAGGATATTTAATTAGATTGGCTCTCTACTGCCAGACGTAGCTAAGACCTTAAAGCAAGAGGGAAATTGGGAGCTTTAGCTAAAATGAAGACTGTTTTTTCATTTATTTTTTATATTGAGAAATTATTCCAATAAAATAAGGGGGGAAAAAAACAAAATTCTGCTAGACGAGAACTTTTATTGGCAAGATCCGCTCAGTATAGAGGATCTTTTTAGGCGTAAACCTATCTTTCTATGCTCTTCGTCCAGGTGTTTGATTCCTCCCGCCTCAACACTCCCCGCCCCATCATGTCGGCCTGTGTGGCCGCACCAAACCCCCCCCACCCCTTCAGATCTGGACCCCACCCCACCGGGAACCCGGGCAGCCCCGGGTGGGGGACGCCACGGGGCCTCGTCCTCCTCCGGCTCACGCGGGAGGAGGACGAGGCGGTGACCGCCCTGCTCACACTGCCCCACCGGGGGGCGCCGCGGGCCCGGGGGGGCTCAGTCAGAGGGGGCTGGACGGAAGCGGAGCTGGAGGCGGCCCGCACCCTGAGTGGCTTTGACGAAGCCGCCTCCCGTTCCCACGGCGACGGCCGGCACAGAAACGTCTCCCAGGAGGACGCGGGTGCAGCTGAACCTGGGCCCTCGGTTCCTGAGGACTGTTGGGGGCTGGAATCGGAGGTGAGGAGCACGTGGAAGGAACGGATGCTGACGGATCTGGAGGGGGATGTGGCGCACACCCTCCTGAGCCTCTGGGACATCAGAGGTCTTGATGTCTTGGAGTGAGCGCCTGAAGTCAGAGCGTCGATCAGTTTTTGTGATTATTTTGTTCTCGTGTTGCCTTTTGAAATCCCCGAATGTCAAAATGGAACCTTCAAAGCTTTAGAGTTTCTGTGAAACACTGTTAAAAGGTGCCTTACTGTTCAATAAAACCACAAAGATCTGACTAAAAATGGTTTTAATACCAAACGTACCAGTGCTGAAGGAGACACCATTCCCTCCTTATTTACACTTTGTGCATTTACAATACATCCAACGGCAGCTTTCCCGAACGGCTCGGCCGAGTCGCACAAGCTTGTTCAGAAGTGTGTGTCAGTGTGTGGCACTTCCTGTTTGAACGGCAGAGCTCTGTGGAGTGGGATGTCCCCCCATCCTGCTTTAGTCAGTGAGTCACTCTGTGGCCGAGGAGCCGAACCTCGCGCTGTGCAGGTTATAAATAAGGTAATAATTTACACGATGGCTTATGACGGACACCCTGTTGGACCAAGCCTTCCTCGCTGCTCCGAAACCAACGCAGAATCCTTGTTTTCCTGATACCCGTTTCCGGTTGTTGTCCTTTTCGGCCGGCGCGTGGCGTCCCGTGCTCCTACTGGACGGCGCGGGCCTTCCTGGCCACCAGGCTGGCGGCCCTCATGACCCTGTAGCGCTCCCTGATGTTCCGTCTCCTCACGTGCTCGTTGGTGATCTCGATTACGTTGGCGACGGGGAACCAGCCCTTCTGGCCGTCGGACAGGCGGTTCCCCTCGTACCAGCCTGTTGGGACGGGAGGGGATGGGGGGGGGGCAGGAAGGGAAGAGTGGAGGTTTTGGTGTCGTTCATGCGGGGAAAGTCGAGACGAAAATCAATAAACGGCTAAGTTGGAGGTTGGGGGAAGGAAGCGGGGTTCGTGTGCGGGCAGGGCGGCACATGGGCGGGTCAGGGTCAGTAAAACGGACCGGAACGGGTCGGCGTCCGGCCACGGCGGCGGCCATATCTGCGGGGCTCTCACCTTCGTTGGTCTTGCGCAGGACGTTGACGATCTCCGTGGGCTCCAGGGTGAGCTCGTCGGCCTGCTGGGCCACGTACTGCTCCACGCACTGCACCTGGGGACAGTCTGACACACACACACACACACACACAGCCGCCGTCAGCAGCTGCCCCCCCGACGCCGGACGTCTGTCGTTGGCACAGTGGCCCCCCCCCCCTCCTCACCCCAGTCCTCGTAGATGACTTCGTCGTCTTCCGCCTCCGTGCCGGTGGGATGGGGGAACGCCGCCAGCCACCGGTGCATGTCGGACCTGTCCACAGGGACCGGGTTTGATCAGAACAGGAAACGGGAACTCATGTCTGTGGAGGCTGCGCTTAGCTCTCGGTTCTAATTTTTCAAAACATTTTTAAATTGGGAAAGTTCGGACGAACGATGTTCCTTCAATTTAGATTTGAAAGATAGATAGATAGATACATAGATAGATAGATAGATAGAGTGAGGAAAATAAGTATTTGAACACCCTGCTATTTTGCAAATTTAAGGAGTGTGTGCAAACCTGGTGAAAATCTACAGGAAACGTTTGATCTCTGTAATTGCAAACAAAGGCTACTGTACCAAATTTTAAGATTGATTTTCTACGGTGTTCAAATACTTATTTGCAGTATCATACAAATAAATAGTTAAAAAATTGATATATTGTGAGTTCTGCATTTTGTTTTTTAGATTATGTCTGTCACAGTAAACACATGCATCTACGTGGGAGAACTTGCAAAATAGCAGGGTGTTCAAATATTTTTTTCCCTCATTGTAGATTTGAATTTGAAATCATTCTGAAACTACATTTAAACTGAGTTTTTTCAGACAGGATGACCTTAGAGACAAAGGCTCCTTTCCACTGCGTTGCGTTTAAACCGTCTCATTTTTACTTTACGTTTTCAGACACACTCAGACTCATCTGAAGGATCGGGGGCATTGCTTTAACAGCTCTGGTGGACGGGCGTCAGGGATTAAACTGATGTGTGCGACTCACTGCGACGGGGCTTTGAAGAGGCGCTCCATCAGCCGTCCCTGGTGGTTCTCCAGCAGCGTGAGGTTGAAGCAGTGCTCGTAGGGGCTGCCGCTGGTCACGTCCTCGTCCAGGGGCTGCACCTGCACCAGGGAGCGGTGGGCGTGGTCCAGCACCACGTAGCGCTCCGAACTGTGGCGGGTGAAAGACGCACCAGCGCACGAGTACATTAAATGTACTTGTGGCTCGAAGAAAGAAAAACGGGTTTGACCGGATGGGCTGGATTCCGTACATAACCACGCACTAATATGATGTTCCACGAAGCTCCTTTGGCTTCCCAATACAAATGCTAAGCTAAGCTGGTGAGATCAGGATGCTCACTAATGGATCTGAACAGGCCACGATGCATGATTTTTAATGAGAGGCACAGAGTCTGGACCCACTGTTACAGGGCCCAGCTTCCCTAACCTCTTCTTGGTGGTGAGGATGAGGAGGTCGTTGAACAGGAAGAGGTACACCGTGCTGAACTTCCCCCTCATGTTGAAGATCGTGGCCCCTTTGGACATTTCCATCAGCTCTCCCTTCTTCTCCAGGTATCGAGTCTGGGAGATGATCGGGATGGCCTGATGAGGACGGAAGAGAAATCAGAGACCGGCGCCTCCTCTGCACGCGTTTGCTCGAACGCACCTTCAGCTTGTCGAACTCCAGCAAGTTAGACAACTGGATCAGCTCTTCCATCTGCCTCATCCTCCCCACCTGGGTGTTGCACTCGTCGATGATCTGTGCGATCGAGGGCAGGAGACACGGGATCGAAACACAGATTATTTTTTCTTTCAACACCGATTCCGCCCAGGTTTTGCGTTCAGAGTGAGGCCTCGTTACCTTTGACACAGAAGCCAGAGCCTTGGAGGCCGTCCCCTCCTCCGCAGTCCCCTCCTGTGTCCTCTTTAGGATGTTCTGAAAGGACAAAAGACCACTTTCTGTTTCTGCAACTCGGGGTTAAAGGTCAGCAGGTGGAGACGAGTCTGAATGAAGGCAGCCTGAACTGGGAGGATGGTCCTTCAGTGGCCACAAAAGGGACTAGAGACAGGTCACCAATGCAGCGGTGCTCTATCACTTTTAAGACACTTTGAGGAAAATATGTTAAGCTTTCCAAACTAACTTAGTTGTTAGGACTCCTTGAGTAACCTCCCAGAGGTAAACAAGCATAAATCAGCCTGTCAGTCGTGACACCTGCAAACAAACTGTGTACAAACAGGAGCAATGACTTCATTATGCTTTGCAAATATAAGATTCCTGATAGAATTCCGTCGGAAACGAGCCTTAAAAATACAGTTAATTCACGAGGAATCGTTTAAGATTTTAAACATGTAAGAGGACTGACTCTATGCTCGACACAAAGTTTGGAAGAACCGGAGAAGAGAGAAGATGTTTGCTGGATTGATTTAAAAGTTAAAAAAAGAAAAGCGAGTCAACATGTGGCTTTCCTGCTCAGAGGTTTATACCTCTGAAAAACTATAGATATATCAGATAACTATTCAAATGAAAAACGGATTATCTAATCAGCTACCAGCCACAAACCAGTGACCTCGTTTTTGGGAAATGATCCTGATCCTGTTGCTCACTCTGAGCTGAGGTGAGTCACACTGCAGCTCATATTATAGAGGGTGCAGAACATGTTGATCAGGTTTAGAGTCATGAATAGAAACTGAAAATGACTCCGCCTGATGTTTATTACGGCGACTTCAGATTAATTTGCTGGCGCTCCTAAAAAAAACCCCTAAACAGTTGCTCCAAAGAGTCTCCTGTCTGTGTTCACAGATCGTCCGGGAGCCGGCGCTCACCTCGATGAGCATTTTGATGCGCGTTATCCTCTGGAAGGGCAGCAGCAGGAAGGACATGAAGGGCAGCCGGTGGCACTGGGGCGACTCCTGCAGCCGCGCGATGACGGCAGCGAACTGGACATTGTTCTTCCTGGCGGAGAGAGGTAGAGGAGCGTGGCGGTCAGTGTCTGGGGGCCAGAGTCTGGGGCCGAGCCAGGGGTCTCTTACATGAGGGTGGTGTACGTCTGCTCCTGGTAGATCTGGTTGCGCACGTAGTCGATGTACGCGGGGAAGTTGTGCTGGGAGTGGTAGTGGATGATGTCGCAGATGTCTTTGATGACCACGTCCTCGAATGTGCGATCTTCCAGGTCTTTCAAGAACCTGCGGCGGGCATCAGACACGGACAGCTTTCAGCACTGTTGTTCCAAGATGGTGGAACGACCCACTAAGCGCTACGAGAAAAGCCCCCGTCTGTCTGCAGGAAACTCTTAAAGACCCATCTATTCAAAGAGCATATCCTATCCTAACTCTTACCCATACCTCTGTATTCCCTCTACCACTCTTTCTGCACTTCCCTCTCTCTCTCTTTGATTCTACACACTGATTCTAACTAGGGATTTTCCTCTAGAGAACTTATTGTCAGATTGATGATGACTGTAAAATTGTGTAAACTTTGTATGTCGCTTTGGATAAAAGAGTTTAAATGCATACACATAAACACCGGTCGCAACCCCTCTCACCTCTCGCTGACCTCGCGCACCCTCAGGATGTTGGAGAAGAGGGTCTTCCTTTCTCTGATGATCATCGTCTCCTCCAGCTCGCGGCTGTTCAGGAAGTGATCGGTCAGAACGTGCAGCGAGCGCAGGTAAGACGCCTCCGATGTCAGAACCTCGAACATGCTCTGGAGAGAAATGTAGGGGGGTTGATATAATGTCACGGCCTGTGGAACACGGTGTCTCACCAGCAGAGCTTAAATGGACTTTTCCATCAAATGGTTCGCTCTAATGCCGAAAGGTTACAACTGCAGCTGGAAAAAGCCTCCATAAACTCCATTTCGGCCACGTTAATATTCCATTACGGTCAATTATGCAGCGAGGCAAAGGAGACTTCATACGTCTATAAAAGCATCACGTGCTCGCTTTAAGATGCGGTTTAAAAATTGATCCCTGGCCTCCCGTTTCCCCCTTCCAGCTTTATTGATTCCTCCTTACGGGAGCCCCTCCCCGGTCCATTAGCCTCCGGGCCCTCACCTCCTGGTATCTGCACTGATCGTGGGAGAGGTTGGCCAGCACGCCGCTCTCCCGCACCCGGGGGAGGTCCTGCCACAGGGTGCTCTGGGCCGGGGCGGCCGCGGGGCTGGGCCTGGGCCCCCCGCCGGCGCCGGCCGCCTCCGGGCCGCCCCCGTTGCGGGGGGCCGCCCACTCCATGGCGTAGTCGGCGCTGGTCTTGCTGATGTTGCGGCACACCGTCTGCCGGCGGATCTCCTTCGTGATGACGGTGGCGCGGTAGGTCTGGTAGAGGGGTTCTGGGGGGAGACGGGTCAGAGCGTTAGGGTGATGGGCGGCTGTGGCTCAGGTGGCCGTGGAGGATGGCCGCTAATTGCTCCGGTTGTTAAATATGTGCGTTTCTGTGAACTCCGAAGTGACTAAATCAATAAAAAACCCATTTATGCTAATTTGATTTAACACAGATGAAGAATACAAAAAAACCCGGCGTGTGATCTGAATGGAGGCGAACAGGTTAGGCTCACACCAGCTCAGGGTTAATGTTTGACCGGTCAAAGTTATGGGCTGAAGGACTGAATCAACTCGATAGGACTGTGAATTGTTAACGGCTTCTGGTGACAGCGTTACCATTCTGCAGACGGGACTGCCAGATGGACGAAATCTTCCTCCTGAGGGAATCCCTCTTGACCACGGACCTGAAGCAGGAAGCAAAGGATTGGCCAGATAAACAACAGGAGGTCAGCGCTTTGCCACCCGGATAGAACCACCGTTGATTTAGATTTCGGGATTGAAAAAGGGGGACAGCTCACACTTCTGCGTCCTCCTTCTCGTCTTCATTCCCTCCATTTTCGTCCTCTGAAAAACAAACCAAACCAGGCCGTGTTAGCGCTTTCGCCCGGCATGGGGTGACCGGTCGGGGGGGGGTCGGCGGCACCCACCTCCGCCCGTCGCCGGGGGGGCCGACTGCACCGAGGCGCTGCTGAGCCTCCTGGGGTCCACCTTGGGCGGCGGGGGCGGGGCCCTGTGGGGCTGCAGGGAGCCGGCGGGGGGCTGCGGGGGGGCCCGTCTGGGGCTGCTGGGCGAGGAGGAGCGGAAGGAGCGCAGCTCCTCCGCCGTGGGCATGGGGAGGGGCACGCCGGCCCGGGGCCCCGGCGTCAGGCTGCGGCCGCCCGGGGTCAGCGGGACCCGCGGCGGGACGGCGGGCGGCGTGTAGCCGGGCTCGAAGTCCGAGGTGGGGTCCGAGGTGCTGTGCGGCAGTTTGGAGCGCCGGGGGGGTTTGCACACGGTGATCTGAGGAACACCGGGGACTTGTTTAGGGAGGGGGTCGACCGTCGGGAGCGCCATGTCGTAAATGCTGTCCTCCTCACACTGGGAGGGATGCTGGTCCGCGGGGGGCGAGGCGGACTGCTTCGGGGGGACGGACGGAGTCTGGCCCTGGGAAACGACGAGGGAGGAGAGGGCGGATCGGGGGCCGGGGTCGGACAGCCGCCGCTGGCCCTCGGCCATCGCCACCTCCAGAGTCTGATGGAACCGGGCCTTTTCCGCCTCGGCCCTCTCGTCCAACACGGGCGAGCGGTACAGATCCTCCTCCTCCTCGCTGTCCCCCTCCTCTCCCGTCTCAATCTCTACATCCACCTCCGACTCTGAGTCATGTTCCTCGCCGCCCGCCCCCCCCTGGTCGTTGTCCTCCCAGTCCAGAGGCACCCAGGCCAGCTTCATGCCGGGACGCTGGAGGTGGCACGCGCAGCCGCAGCCCGGCGGGCAGCAGGGGCTCGGGGGGGCGTCCGGCCCGCGCTCCGCCTCCGCCTCGCCGCCGCCCGCCAGCTGCTCCTCCCCCTCCTTCCCGTCCGGCGCTGCGTCCAGAAAAGAGGGACAGAACATTGTGAAACCTCACCCCGAAAGAGAAAGTCATTCATGGCTTCCCCAAATCAGGCACTTTCACTATGAGCTCTATGAGCGGAGCATCGGCGTGCACGTGCAACACCACTCTCTTCAAATATTTATGGAAAAAATCCAACATTTGCTAAATGAAAAGGAGGATGTGGAGGAAGGAGGGCGGAGATGAAGGTGAATGTCAGTGTGTAAGAACATGGGGAGCAGCAAAATGACGTGACACGTTATCCTACGAGGGTAATTAGGGGCTGATGTTTCACGTATTTATAAAAAAAAATAACATGGGACAGATCAAACTGAACGATTCAGATATCTGTTCCAGCTGTGTCAGCTGTGATTTGTTCATTATTCATTAATGCCAGCTTTTTGTGAGATAGATTTTTTAAAAACGAACTGGCATAATTTCCTATTTGGGCCCTTTGTTTTCGTTTAATAGATTATCTAACAGCAGCATGTAAACAACACGGTGAAGAAAGCCCCCATATACATGTTTTTTTTAAAGCTTATCAATCCTAATGGGGCAGGTTTGTTAACGGAGTATGGGGTCACGTTTGAACACTTCCTGTTTTGCAACGGGAACCATAATAAGGGAAGTGATAAGTGTGAGTCACTGAGGAGGGAACAACGAATCAAAAGGGCAGATGAAATTCTTCTGGCTTCTCCGTTTTTACTCAGTCAGGCGATGGTGGCAGCTCAGAAAACGAGTCCTGCGACTCCTGCGCGGCGTGCAAACCATTTGCGTAGCTCTTGAGCAACACCCGAACTGCCGACTCTGCCACAAACATTCCACCGCTGCCCAAAACCAAAGAGCGTTTCTGACGTGATTCCCTCTGAGTTTGATCCGCGTGGAGGCGGCGGGCTGCCTGACCTGTTTCTGCTGCTGGAGCAGAACAGCTGGCGGCGCACGCCTGCTCTGCAGCTACGCAAACAATCAGAGCTCAGGCATGCGAGTAAATCTGCTCAAGTGCGCTTTTGTTTTGGGCCGGTTCATAAAAACTGGACTTTGGTCCGACGCGGGAACAGGCCCACGCCGGACGGGAGACGCCGGGGCCTTAAAGGAACTGAAAACCACGAGAGAACGTGTCGTTCTCGTCTTCCAATCGCTGTTCGACTATGAGTTTTTTTTAAATGACAGGTTTAAGTACGTTTCATTTTCTAAAGGAATCCCATTCTTAATGCTATCCGGACGGCTGGCATGTTTCTACACAAATAACCCACGTTTTTTTTCTGAAAATCCTTGGAAATCCTCACTTAGGTTTTCAGTGGGTGGAAGGGTTCTAGTTGTCAAAGCTGTTCAACATGAGTATATGAAGCAGTCGGGGATGTAAATCTTCTATATTTAGATCAATTTTCTAAGTAGGGGATAGTCCAAAGTGTATCAAAGGTTTGGCTTGCTCTCTGTTTTAGAGACAGTGAAGACAGAAGACTCTTGAATATTGCTGATAACTCGTTTCAGTGTCTGATTCAAAGTCAGATAAAAGCCTGCATATCCTCAGCATCCTCATCGAGGCCTGAGGCCTGGGGAATCCCTGGTACAATGTTTCTCCCTACATAAAACTCTCATTTTAGCTGAGAAAACGCTCGTCCACAGAACCAGACTCGTTTAGATCGGCTCGGTCAAAATGTGAGGCTCAACTGACTGGAAACCCAAATCTAAAGTAGAAATCTAAAGCAAACAAAGAGAGAATCAAAGTGAAAGCAGCGGGTCGAGCCCCGTTTTTTTTACCTGATCGATCTTCCTCGGCGCACACCCCCTCGCCCTCCTCGCCCCCCACGCTGCTCTGCTTCCTCAGGCCGCGGGTCCTCTTCCGGGGCAGCGGCGGCGCCCGCTCCGCTCCCATTTGGAGCGGCAGGCTGGTCCGGCGGGGTTTGGGCTTGATCGTGGGCGGCCTGTGGGATCTCCTTCCCGGGCCGAGCTCCGCGCCGCCATTGGCCGGCTTGCTGAACTTGTTGACGATGTTCTTGACCTTTCCCCCCGGGGCTCCGGGCCGGCCGCCTCCGTCCGGGTCGGACGGCGCCGCCGGCTTGGGGGGGATCCCCGGCCGGGGCCTGACGGCCGTAGGCGACCCCAGGCTTTCCTGGACGGACATGGCGACCCACCCTGACTTAATTTGGCCGAGGCTTCGAGGGAGAGCATCAGGGCGAGCACGCCATCACGACCTGAAGATGGAACAAGAGGAAAAAGGGCCATGAACCCGGCCGGTGGACGAGAATGGACTTTTACAACGACGAAAATAAAACTGCGTTACTGAGTTACCGTGGAGACTTGATCCTCAGTGAGAGTTTGACCACTGAGCCATAAATCCCTGCTGCTACGAAACTCAAACTTTGCACTGTGAGGAGCACGCTGCTTTCTCCAGAGCGCGCACGCCCAACAGGAGCTCGTGTGAAATCAGCTTTTAGCCGGAGCTGCTTGAGGCTAAACAAGCTTATTACACAACATCAACCGAACCCTTTCGGTTGTATCCGTTAATTACTCGGAGCTGGTAATAAAAGTCCTGTTTGGGAGTGCTGAGCAAACATTATGAAACGTTTGTCAGCAGGAGTAGAGCAGCCGTTCATTTAGTTTTCTGTATGATTACAGGTTGATCTTCTCTGTTGGTGGAAAGCAAATGCAAGCATAAATACTTACTGAAGCAAGCCGAGAAGCCTCAAAAGGTGCTGAAATTCAACAACTCCTGCTTTTGACATTAATATTCATTTCTCACTGTATCTATCTATGACCAGAAATACAGTTATTACTCATGTACTACAACAGCAATAATTAATGAGGGAAGCATGTTTTTTTAAATATGTTAAACTTGTGCACACAGGCCCTGTCGTCTACTGTGCCATGTTGTCTCTCTTTGTGCAAATGTGAACCGATTCAGCTCCACATCCCTCAAACGCTGAGGAATTTCAATATTCGAAGCACCGCCGCGCCTTCCCACTAAGAAACGTCTATAATTAGAACCACGACGAAGTGAAATTCAAGTTTCCACTCCGCCGACCAAACGGCCACGCTGCGGATTCTCCTCGACATTTGTTTAGCCGGCGTGTCCCACAGCTGATGCAACACCAAACCAAAAGGGGGTTCGTCATCCTCTGAGTCACGCTGGATGAAAACGGCCGACAGATTTAACATGTGGCAGCCAACATCTGGGAGCCCGTGACCCGCTCTGACATGAGGAACACGCACAGTAAATAGTGGTGAAAAAAATACAGATGGATTCGTGTCACTGTGGGTTTGATCTGCTTTAGTTAAGACTCAAACATCATAAGAATAATCTATAATAAGATCATAATATGTCTTCCTTAGGTCGTTGCAGACGAATCAGTCCTGTGTATGACGGCCATTTAAAACCAAACAAAAATCCAACTAAAAAGAAACTAAACATGATGCTTAATATGATATAATAACAGTAATATAATAACGATGACTGTCCAGTAGGACACAAAGACCAAAGAATAACAGAGATGTTGCCCTGGAAGCATGAAGAACAGCACGACTGGGCATCTGATTACCACATAAAAGCAATAAAAGAGGTGTTAGAAAAGAAACCTGAACCTGAACCTTTCAACTGTTTGCCCGACAACAACAGTTTCTCATGAGACTCAAAACCTCAAAAAAGAGCTCATCTGAACGACTGAAAATAATGTCTAAATGCAGCCCCACGTGAACACGAGCTCATTTTTTAGAAACTGATCAGAGGCGGTGGGTAAAACGGGCCCCCAAAACAAAAGCATCGCAGAAGCCACAAACCCACAGCGACTGATTCTGTGAAAGCCAATGTCAATAAGCTGCGACCGGGAGCTGAAATAGACGGGAACCAGCTGGTCGGACCGGTTTGGATATGATATAACAGCAACTGCAGAAAACCGAAGAAGAGTTCCACTTTTACACCCGACAGGAAGCCGGTTTCTGCAACGACAAACTGCCGGGCGTAGAGTAAGCGACTAATTCAGAGGAAAATGTGGGTTTTTAATGCTCCTTTGAAAAGTCTAGAGACTTTTTGAGAGATAAAGCAGCAGTCAGACACCAAGAAACACAAACCGGCTGCGGCACTGGGTGTGTGGGTGTAAGTAATGCTTTTCAGGTTACAGATTTGGCCCTCCGGCCATTATCGCTGAGCTCTGAGATACATTTACACTCCTGATTGTGTGGTAGTGCTCTGGAAAGAGAAATTACAGTCCCCCTCGTTTTCTCTCAAGCGATCCTGACCAGACATCACCTCTTTTGTCTCCCGTAGTTCAATTGACCTGGTTATCTCAATAGGTTCAGCCTTTGGTTTCCCAGTTGTCTGGTCCCTGAACCCGCTCAGGCTGGGTCACTGGGCCAGCCTTTTATTCCCCTAATGGTATTTGTGATTGGAAATCCAATATCGGATATGGTGGTGATCCCTTGGATTAAGAGAATCCCTAAACGTTTACCATTTAGGGTGACCTTTAACAGAATTCCTTGTGTGTGTGTTTACAGTAAGCCATCTGCTCTGAGCACCAATGGGTCAGTGTGTCTATTAAATGGGTGGGGGGGAATTTAAGAGTGCTTCTCTACCCCACCGCCATCACCCAGTGCAATACATGGGATGAGTGTGTAAGCTCCACGTTGGCCAGGAAGACGGAAAAGGTTTCTCAGGAAGGAAAACGCGTGCGCACACGCACACACACAGGGTGGGAATGTAGGGAAAGGATGGATAGATTTTTGGTGCCAAGAAGTGGCTTAGTAGATGTGAATACATGTCTAATAATAATGGACTTTCAAGAAATCCACAATTCAATACATAAAAGCAACTGAAGATGATCGATCATAGGGGGAAGGCGTTTTAGAAAAATAGAAAAAAACATAAAAACAAGAGTTATTTAAGTTGATTAATGGATGGAAGACAAAAATAAAGTAAGAATGAAATCTAATCTGTGTAATCGCCTGTTATACCATATTAACTGCTGTTTTCTGTCATTAATAATCCCATGATAAAGCTGTAGAGTATTACGTTTACTGGCTGTTAAATTTTGAGGTGACATTAGTAAATGTTAAATGGTAAAACAAAACAAAAACCTCGCATACATCTCGTTTAATCTTCAAAAGTATTTGAATGGTTTCCCATGAGGGAACAGGTGCTCCGCCACTCAGCCAAACTACACTGGTTAAACTGCCAATTTAAAACGAATGCCACTCAAAAGATAAATTGTACATACTTAAACTCACCAGCGTTTATCGGACATGTCCTGAATGTGTCTCTTCAGTCATTCGGGTCTAGTTTACGTACTCCAACAAGCTTTAGTTCGGTCTGGGAAGTTTAAAAACAGGCTCCTGTGTTGAACAAGTCCGGGACACAGATACAGCGGTAAGTATTGAAAAGTAAAGTCTTCGAAAAGATAAAATAAAACTGATTTTTATTATAAAAAAGGGGGAAAATGGCCTCAGTAGGTTATTGTTGCCCTGGCATGGTTGGCGTGTGAGCACCCACCACCCCCCTGTTGTTGTCTCGTCTTTGTTTGCAGCCGCATATGTGAGGAGCGGACCGGAGAAAGGAGAGCAGCAGTCCCCCCCCGGAGCAGCTGCAAAGCGACACACGGTGGCGTCGACTGTTTCCGGTTAGCTGTTTCAAAATAACACTGAAGAACTCAGTCATATTTTACAATTGCACTTAAGTCAGTGACGTTTTTTAAATTCTTTTTTAGATTTAAAATCTAAATTTATAATCTATTAAAAAACATGGTACAATAGATTCACCTGAGAGTCTTCCTCCCACTGGTCCAAAAACAGGCATACCGCTTTAGAGGAGACTGAATTGTCCTTAGGAGTGAGTTTGATCATGGGCGATGATTTATCTCACTTGTCTGTCCTATGACAGGCTGGCAGTGTGAACATAATTCTTGTAGATATGTGCTTTCAACCAGCAGATATTGTTATTCTCAATCAACCAATTCAATATATATCAATTACTCTTAGACTATGAGTCTAGAAGATTTTGAACGCCTGGATTTCTTATTTCCGGCCACTTGAGGCTCGTTTTTGTAAACTTGATCCTCCTACACTGGATTTCTCTCCACTTATGTTAGAGGGGAAAAAAATCCAGGATAAATCACTGATGTAAGTATTCATGCTTCGTATTTCCTGTCATAACACACAGATATCCGGGTTCGGTTAGCATATAGGTAGTGTCTGTGCCCATACCTCTGCAATTTCATTTACGTCTCCTACCCCCACCTAGTGCCTCATTCCGGTGTTGTGCGAAAAAGTGAATGTTTGCGAGAATCTGATTAAGCTCGCGGGAGCGCGCACCGCAGCTGCTGAGCGATACCGTAAACTTGCTTTTCTCTGGATTAAACGGTCATGACATGCAGATACACACAGTTGCATTATAACATAGGCCTTATTAAATTATAATATAGGCCTAATTAAAGATTCGAAAGCTTAACGTTTGTCACATAACGGCAGTTACGTGACAGACATGTTTCTATACTCGGTCTGATGACTTTGTGTAGCCCTGACATTGGAGACTACACTACAATAAATATGATTCACTGGAGGGTTTTCGATAAAGATATGATAACTTTTGCAACGATCCTCGTGACTCTGCATTGTTTCTTATCTGATCTGGCCGTATATAGCACAAGTTTCCCATGTTTCTATTTGTTTTGCAGTTTTCAATCGATTTTCACCTGTCAAAAATTGATTGAAGGCACAGTATAGTCACTCAAAGGTTATTTCTACCTAAATATGACTAGATTTCCTTCAGGAGATGCATGATTTAAAGATCTGAGCTCACAAAACAGCTTGGAACTCTTTTAAAGGACCATTACAACACAAAATAGCCATTTTGACTTGCAAAAAATGTATTAAAGCCCAAATGCTGTCATTCAAAGGGGATATCTGCCCAAATATGACTTGATTTCATTCAGAAGCATCTTATTTTAAATAGAACAAG